GTGGCGCGCCCACCCGAAACGTGTCGAGCGGCCGCAGGGGGGTGCTGAAAGGAGCGGCCGCGGAGGCCGACGTGGCGCCGATGCCCATGGGCGAGTAGTAGGGCAGGGGCAGGTGCGACGGGAACGGGTAGGGCAGGTTGCCCGTGGCCGCCGCGTGGCTCATCATGTAGGTGTAAAAAGCCGGGTCTGCCGGGTGAGGCCAGGTCATGGCCAGGCGCTGCCTCTTGTCCTTCATCCTGCGGTTCTGGAACCAGACCTGCGGGAGAGAGCAGGGAGGGCCGTCACGCTCCGCGCCGGGCCGCGCAAAATCTTCGCCCCTCAGCGCGGGGCTGCCCGGCTCCTCCTGGCCCAGCTGAGGGACGGGAGGCTCCGGCTCGTAGGAAGGGTTGTCATCAGGTGTGGGGAGGGGGTCCCCTAGGTCTCTATAAATCTACAGAGAGACCCGCCGGGGCAGCTCTTTTAGCGCTTTCTTTCCCTTTCTTCCGCTTGAAGGTGGTCCTGTTCGGCTCTCCGGACCCCAGGGCTCCGGGCGAGCCGAGCAGCTTCTTCCTACCTCCTTGCAGGCACAACTACGTTGCACTGCTACGATCTTCCGCTCGCTTTATGTATATATGTGTATTATTTTATTTTATTTATTTTAAGGCAAAACAAAGTGAGAGGAAACGGGCTGAGGAGCTGCTTCCTCTTCCCTCCCCTAAGAACTGCCCGACTTTTGTACTAGACTGAAGGAGGGATTAAAAATAAGCTGGTACGGAGAGGCCGGATTAGCGGTGCTGTCTGGGATGGCCCTGGGACTCTCTCCTGCATTGCCGCTTGCTGCAGGGCGCAGGCAGGGCCAGGAAAAGGGCGGGGGAGGGGGCGGCGAGGGGAGAGAGGGAGGGTTGCGCTGCCCAAGTGCTTTCCCGAGTTTTTGAGAGGAAGTTTGGCCATATAGATTTATATCGTGCTAATTGGAAACATGTCCGAGCTGTGTGTACCTTGATGGTGGTTTCTGGCAGATTGAGGGCAGCCGCCAGTTCGCATCTCCGGGGCCTCGACACGTAGTTCTCCCGGTAAAACTCCTTCTCCAGCCGGGCGATCTGCTCGCGGGTGAAGGCGGTTCGGTAGCGGCGCATCTGGTCACTGGCCGCGTGACACGCGGGCAGGAGAGGGGCACCCCGGGCCGGCTCCCCCCACCGCCCCCGCTCTCTCCCACCCCTCGCACCTCGCAGGGCTGGAGACGCAGCGCGGGGCACGAGGGGCAGTCAGATAGAGAAGCAGCACCGGGAAAGGGTTTAGCGGGTGTACATCTCTCTGGCTGCAGGGTTGCCCCCCAGCACACACACACGTGCAGGCACACATGCACACGCATGCACACACACGCAAACACACCGCCTGCTCTGCTGCCCCGCTCGCTTCCCGCACGGGGAAGCCGCAGCATCCCCGGCCCTGCGCAGGGGCATGTGGGCCGCCGGGCTCCGCAGTCGCTTGGGGTGCAAGATGGGCGGGATGCAGGCACCCGATTCCCTCCAGAGGGAGGTCAGACCGCGGGGAGTCTCCCCTAGGCCGCCAAATGGACGAGTTGTTTACAATGAACCTCTGGGGAAGAGAGGCAGCACCCAGCGCTGTCCGTGCTTGCTGGCTTCCCTTCCAAGTGATGGAGACACGGGCAAGGGAAAGGACTGGGTAGTTTGGAGGTCTGGGGGGAGCTCTGCCCGGCTGGCAAGGTAGGAATAGGAGAGGGGGCAGGGGGCTAGGGGGAGATAGCCTTTGCGTTCGCTTTCAAATGCAACTCTCTCTCTTTGTGCCCGAGACCAAAGGCAATTAATTCATTGGGACCATTTCCGAGCTGGCGCCACCGAGACATAGAAGTGACAAGGTAATTTGGATCTCTACTGTCCACGCCCCCCCCCTTTTTTTTTTTTTTAACCCAACGTGCAAACAAGGACCTCGCCGTTGCGTTTTGGGCAGGCAGGAGTCGGCGAGCAATTTTACGGTCTTTATGGCCGTTTCCGCACTCGCCCGGGCACATTTCACCCTGCAAAACCACAAACAGCTCTCGGCCAGAAAGCCCGTTTGATCTTGCTCTCCCACCGCCCCCCCCGCCCCTTTTCGCACGCAGAACCCGCCCCCCCTCTCCGCACGCAGACCCCGCCGGTGGGGGGAATCGGAAGGGATTTCCTGGGGCAGACACTGTCCAGGCAATGGGAAATAAATAATAATAATAAAATAAAAACAAAATGAGATGGCGAGGGAGGGAGGGAGTAGTGGTCTAGGCCAAGGGGGGTCCTACGGGACAAGCTGCAGACCTGCTGCACACACGCTGGAAAGTCTTACTCCCATCCAGGGATGAGGGGGGATGCCTGGTGTCGTGTCCTCTGACTCCCAGACAAGCCTCCCCCTCACAGGGAGCTGAGGGGCCGAAATATCCATCAGGAAACTAAATGAGACCCCCCCAAGCACCCCAACTTCCCTGCCTCTTTCTCGGCTGAAGTGAGGAAGACCCCCCGCCAGCAGCACCCCCCGCCCGAGTGCTGGCCCCGGAGCCCGGCAGGGAGGAGGGGGCTCAAGGAGTTGGGTACCTTTGCTGTGCTGGTACTCGGCGCTCCCCGTGGCGCAGTCCGGGGTGCAGCTCACCTCGATTTCCTCATAGAAATCCGACTCGGTGTCCGAGCTGCTCTGCTGCCCTTTGCTGGAGGGGGGCTCCGAGGCGGGGGGCTGCTGTCCGGCCGAGAGCAGGGCTGCCGCCGCCGAGCGGCTCTCCGCCACCGTCCCTGTCCCTGGCAGCACCTCGACCTCCTCTTCTTCTTCGTCTCCGCCACCTCCTCCTCCTCCCGCTCTCTCCCGGGACGACAAGGGGCCAGGTCTAGGGCTGAGGCAGTTCCGATGGATCATCTTTTCCTGTGGCTCTTGAGCGGGGCTCCCCACTGCTTCGGACAAATTAGGCACCCTCTTGCCAACTAGAGCGCCAAGTTGTGTCCCTTCCAGAAACATCACCATCTCCTTCCTGGTTTCCATAGTGGCTCTGCTTAAGGGAGGGGGGAAAGAAATCCCGATCTCTTCCCCCCCCTCCCTTCTACTCCCGCCCCAGCCCCGTGCGCACCCAGCAGCCCCTCTCCTGCCAAAGCAGAGGAGCAGGCGGTGAGATAGGGTGACCTTGTGATGCGAGTGCTACTCTGCGCTGCGCTGCTCTGGGAGGGATCACCATTGCCCTCTTCTTTCTAAGCTGTCATCCTCACTGGTGCAGTCGTCATTACAGTACCACTGGTGACGCCACACATTGATTGCCAGTGGATAAATAGAAACGTCTGCCATGGGGAAGATGAAAGGAAGAGCCGGAGCTAATGGGCTAAATGCGTGATGCGCCAGGTGTAGGAGCCCGCCATGGAGAGGGAAGTGTGAAAAAGAGATGCATATGGAGTTGAGCTGCAAAGAGGTTGTAACATGCGGGGAGAGTTCCGCAGGGGGAAGCCTTGCTTGACAATTAAGCAGCCTTTTGATTGCTTTAAGGAGCAACCTTGATGTAAAAGCGAGGCGAAGATCCCTAGCTGCGTCTTGGAAGTGAGAAGATACTCAAGCCTCTTCCCTCGGTGCATTATTTATTGCTGGCAATCAGCTTCCGCATAATTGCATATATAAGGCTTTACGAATCCTTTGCAAACTTGAGGATAAAGAAATGCGATGCTAACCTTTGAATGTAGAAATAGCGTTGACTTTTTTTTTTTTAGGTCGTGGTTCCGTATCAGTTCCGATTCCTATAATTGTTATTTGCTTTATATTGACCAAGATTAAACCGTTTCTTTGCGATTTGGAATCGTGGTTACTTATTTATTTCCTTTTACAACAGAAAAGCTAATGCTACTTTGCTTTTCGTAACTGCAGATATTTCGGCTATTCGTTGTTTATCATTTACTCTTATCTCTTCCTTCGCAGTTTCCATTTGCTGGATGATTGTTGCACTTGTAAGAAGGTTTCCCACCTCCTTCCCTTTCTTCTTTTTAACTAATTATTTTGCATAAAACATTATCTGCTTTCAGGAGGAGGAAAAAATGCCAGAAGAAGGTCTGCCAATAATTCAGACTCAGAGAAATTCAAGTTATCAAGGCCACGGCTTATGCCAACTAGCAGATGTTGTTAAAATAGAAATGACAAGGGCAACCATTTGGACAGCACTTGTCTGTAAGTGAGGGACCTCATCCCGTACAGGCAGCCGCACATGTAGCCTCCTAGGTGTATTTTGAGTGCGGGAAGTGTCTCATCTTTGCTTAATATTGACTCTAGTGTGTAGTGTCAATTCCTTTTCACCATCTGTCGTAACTAGGCTTTTTTTTTTTTTTTTCCTGCAAGCGTTACTGGCGAGTCAGGTTGCAGAAAACACTCGACCAATTACGTTTCCCACCCGGCAAGGAATTTACTGGCATATTTGAGGTGACGTTGCTTTGGTGGGGAGCAAGCAGCGCAATGGGAAACACTCTAGGTTTTTCTTTATAGCCCTGCGAGCAAGGCGCAGTTTGAGGACCTTCACAGTGCAGGGAAGGCAGGAAACAGGCAGACACAGAGGCTTCCCGCTCCGTGCAGGGATGGAAGTGTGCTCGCAGCAATTAGGGGGGCAAAATCGGGATTTTTGCAGCGCTACCGCCGCAGATCTCATTTTCTCTCCACGTGGAGATACTTGCCTGCCCACATGCGCGCACATACTATGCACAAACCCACGGCGCGGGTTTTCATCACATGGCAGCGTGTCTGTTCCTCGAAAACTCCCGGCCGAATCCCTGTCCCTTCTTCTCCCTGCCCAGCTTCTGCACCAGGACCCGCGGCCGAGCAGCGCTCCGGGCTCCGTCGCGACCTGGCCCCCTGCGCTGAGGCCAGAGGGCAGGATTGGGCCCGGGCTGTTGGTCCCGAGGCTGGACGGGGCGAACGAGCAGCGGCTGCCCCGCGCTGGAGG